ATTTAAATTTCGATCTCCGCGGGGATAACGAGCGACGTCTGAAACCCTTGGACTGAACCAATTGATCGAACAAGATCGCGAAACTTCTTCCATCTACGCTCCCCTTACACATATACACACACATATCCGCAACATGAGAATATAATTTATTTATCAAAGTTATAAGGGGATAAAAAAATATCACACAATTTCCAGAGCAACGCAATGTCGATGCTCCCCTTTAAGATTCAACTTTATGCGAAGGATATCGCAAAAAAAAAGAGCAGAATGGAGACAAGAAGGAGATGCTGAAAATCGTAAATCCCGTAGAAATATAGCAATCCTTTAAAATGCATAGTGCGAGTTTGAAAGTTTCCTCGCGCGATATAAGAATCGGCGTCGTCGTTTGCGAGATTCCGCCGCAAACGAGCTGTCGTCTTCAGAACGGATGAAAGCCGGAACGGTTTTCGTCGAACGCAGGAACCGTCGACTCGGATGAATTTAACGCGACGTAATTGCGGTGGGAATATATTCGACGATGGTGATTCATCCTGTATTTCCCGCGTGGAAACTTGCCAAGTAGGAAGAGGTAAACCGCATCGACGTCGAGCGGAATAACGTATCTTCTTGCCCTCCGCAAGAATTCATCCTCAACAATACACGCGGCATCGTTCCTCGCGTTCAAGAAGCTCGACGTGAAACATCAATCCGTTTCTCTCGTCAAGTGCATGCACGCATAAGGCGGAGAACACTCTTGTTCGTAATTACAGATTTCTTGACAAATCGCATGAGTCGTTCTCGTCTCGGCGACAACCAGATTAGACATTTGTTCACACCATATCTTTATATATACAATTCTATATATTGTAATTATATATCATTTTAACAGGAAGTCTACTCAAATCTTGTAAAAAAAATTTCCTGAAAATTCTCTGATCTTCCAGATATTTTTATTCAAAATTAAGAGAAAATGTTTTTTAAAGATTTTTTGGTGTAATTTTCTAAAATAAGAAATTATTCGGTTACAATTCTGTTTAAACGTGAATGAAAATAAAGTCCCATCGTTCTCTCCGCGCGCGAATTTTACCGTGTAAATTACGGCTAAACGAATTGCTTTCTTTTGTCGTTTATCGCAAGTGCGATAAACGTCCGCACCCGAGTGCAAACTCGCGGAAATGCAAAACGCAGCCGTGTTTTTCGGTCGCTTTTTCCCCCTCGTCGCGAGCACTCGACGTCGTTCGCGGATGTATACCGGACCCTTAATAGCGCCCGCGGGAGAGAGATGTATGGCGAAAGTTCTAATTGGGGCATATGGTCGCATATGTTAGTTGGTTTGTCGAGCTTGTAAAACCGCGACCTACGATCTTGTTCCACCCTTCAACCCCCGCAACCGTCGCTTTATTGCCGTTCCAGCCGTCCCACATATGGCTGTCGAATCTTTTTCCCGCATTTAGATTCTCAAGGATCTCAAAATATATCGCTGAATTAAATTTCTTACTTATTACGTAATATTTAAATTATTTAAAAAATGTCGCCACAATTATTTTATATAGGGAGAGAGAGGGAGAGAGCAAGTTAGAGTACGTTATTTACATAACATGTGTATAACATCTACAGAGTGTTGACATTACTTAGGGGAACAAAATCGTAAACAAACTGAGCTAAGTTATCGAGACGGAACAAAGTTGTGATTACGTCGCGCAAAACTTACACCGTTTTACGATCGCGAAATTACTATCCCTCGCACTAAAACCATGATCGAAAGAAGCCGCCACTTTTATGAAGTGCTACGAAATCTCTTCTCTTCCGTCTCTTATATAGAGTTCTCGCGGAGATTCGATACCGAGTGTCACCCGCCCACGTTGAAATCCGAAAGTTTTCCGCCTCGACCGCCTCTATCCTCATCTCTTTTCATGCCATCTTTTTATTACTAATTTCTATTCATGAAATATGTTCCTGCCGGCGTTACAGGTGCGATCGGTGCGAAAGACGGGCCTCTTTCTCGTCTCGTTCTTCTTACACTTTTTCCTCGCGAGATGTTTACGAAAGGGCGCAATAATGCCTTCACTTTCATCGTGCCATTATAACGCGGACTTATATATAAATCGCGTTCCCTTCCAGGCTCCCATTCCCACCTGACGACCCTTCGCGTTTTATTAACTTCTGGTAAGGCTGCGAGAAGTGTGCCGTGAATTTCGGGGAGAACGCTCTGGTAAAACGACGTAATTCACCAAATTAAACGCGCAGGATAATGGATATTATATACCGGTGAGCACCGTATTCCACGCTTCTTTCTCCGCCCTCCTCTTCACCCGCTACACTTCCGGCCGTTTGTTGGACGAAGTTAATTAACGAGGGAACGCGCTCCGGCGCGCGTTCTCGCCAACCAGAAATATCCCCAGCTGGCCGAATTCGGTGACACTACTTCGACCGAGAACAATCCGCAATTAGAACAATAATTATAAGCGTCGGTAAACCACGAGAAATTAGGACGTTTTAATCGAGAAACCCGATGGGAGACGTACCAATGAGAATATCGCATAAAGAACGACGCGAAAAGGCGTGTATTCGTCGTTTATTTCCGCGTTGAGGTAAACCGTTTGCCAGAGATCGCAATGAATTCCAAGAAAGACACGTTTTATGAGGTATATTCGTCGTATATACGCGGAATATTAAAGGGATGACGGTAATTTCGAAAAATCCTTTCTTGAATTTTAAAAGGCGATTAATATGTCGCGTGAGATAAAAGTTAAGCCTCGGGCGAGCGAGAAATATTAAACAGAATTCAAATGCAACGATAATCGATAATAAACACGCGAGCTCATTTGGAGAACAAGGGCTATTAAATAGGTGGAAAAAGGGGTTTACACAAGCGCGAACAACGATTTTCAATAATGTAACACCTGCGATTCTCGCGTCGAGGGTGTCGCGAGCGCGAAATACATGCATATATCGGTTGTATGTGTCGTGTCCGTCGTAATCCGTTTAGTGACCGGAAAATTACTCGAACGGAAACTAATTAAAGATAGTTATCGGCCGACTGGCGCAACGAGTGTAGAGATTTGTTAATCGAGAATTAATCTCACCGGACGATAAGAGGGAGGGGAGGCCGATTGAAAGTGCCATCGCTGTGTTAAACTCGAACAGGGTTAATCCGGATTAAATTCCGGGTCCCTCTGCTACCAATAAGACCAGAAAGGGCAAACACACTCCCCGGGAATATCTCGGGACAGGTGCATCTCAGCGTGTCCCGCGCCTGGATTACGAAGCTACCGCAAGATAATAGGACTTAAATATGTTACACGTGTACGAGATAAAACCCGTTTGTTGGCGATGCAATGCTTTCTCAATGAAGAAACTTTGCTCAATGATTGTTAAATGTTCGATAAAAGATATATGTTACACGTGTACGAGATAAAACCCGTTTGTTGGCGATACAATGCTTTCTCAATGAAGAAACTTTGCTCAATGATTGTTAAATGTTCGATAAAAGTCATCAGCCAATACTTTCATTTTTTTAAATTTTTCAAATACGTTGCAAAAAATATTCGAATCTATAAGCAAGTAATTTCCAAAACTTTGCATTTAATATTTCCTGAAATACTTAATGTCTTTTTTCCAAAAATTTTTGAAGTACGCGCATGTGATGTACATAATAATTTAGAGATACCTCAAAACTGTTTATTATTTAGTAACGTTTTTATAACGATACAAATATGAACAAAATTAGGTGCAACATTGTGAAGAATGTCAAAAATAGTTATGACAAAAATTATAAAGAATGTAGAAGAATTAGACTTTATATGCCAAAACTGTACTCAAATAACGTTATTTATCCATATAATAGTATATTCATATTTCATCTCAGAGATAAACTTTTTTTTTCAAGAATTATATTTTCAAAAAAATATATTAGAGAAAATATATTATATCAATTTGTGAAACATTAAATTATCAACTATTTAATTCAAAATTATTATTTTTACGTAGCATAGTAAAATGTCTCTAAATTATTCGACATCGCAATTAAAAATCTATAAATACATATAACATGTAATAAAAAAATTTTTAAATATGTCTATCCGCGTTTCCCCCTTCTTGTCAAATACGGTAATTCTAACCGGCTTGATATCGATACCTTCACATCACGCTATTTCATCCTCCTTTCGCGAAAAATTATAAGATCTTCCCTCCTTGGTAAACATCCGCGGCTAAGTAACATGTCCGGTTTGACGAGACAGGGGGTGCAAGTCGCAAACAATACTGCGATCATCGCGAAACGCTATACGTACGTCGATGGCGAAATTCGACTTAAAACCCGAGGACTCGAATCGAGGTACACAAGAGGTCCATTATCGTCCAAAGGGACAAAGGGATCGAAAAAAAAGACAAACAACGAGGAAGATCAAGCGTCGGAAAATGTCGCCAACACTTTCTCGACGCGGATGCGCGCGCGGGCCTTTACAGAGGCCCGGCTTCGTGTTTTTGCCCGTGTAATTAAACGCCAGAACACGGTACAATGGCGGACATGACAAAGGGCGAAGGCATCTCTCCGAAAGATGATTTGTCCGCTAAACGGGCACAATGGATGTTACGTGTCGGACATTTACTTATTGTAAACCGACGGGCGCTCTCATATCGTGAGTTATGAGGGACTTTTATCAGACTTATCGAGGAGTGGTTTGCACGCAATATTTTTTTCGTAAGATATTTTTGTGGAAAATTAAGAAAGAGTCCAATATTCTTTAAAAAAAATTTCTAAAAATCATCAATGTTTCATACTGCTGGAGTAAACTGGGCCTTTAATGATAAAATTGATCTTATTTAATTAAAGAACATATGCTTTTAAAATCGCCTTCTCTATATAATCCACATAGTTCAATCGGACGAGAGATTGACAATGCAATCGAGATTTCTTTGCGAGGTATAAATCGTGCGATTGCGAGGGTTCGTGCAAAGGAAAATATTCCCCTTCAGAAGGTCCGAAGAAGCAAGATATAAAGAGACGATAGGATACTTACCTTTAAGAGCCGCTGTGAGAGCATGTAACCTTCCCGTCATCGCCGCGAGCTGTGTCTTGTGCTTTATGGAGTCGGCGTCGGCTTTCTCGGTGAAACCGCGCTGCAGCATCCTTTGCGTTTCCTGCTCTTTGACCAAAAGTGCCTCTCGAAGATGATCGGCGTGTATCTCCGACTGCAATTTCAGCTGCCGCCGCATCTCATCGTCCAGTTTCTTCTGCTCCGCCAGCAGCTGAAACACGAGAATGAATATCGCTCGTAAACATGAACAACATGAGCATTTCGTTCTCTCGTTTTATGCTTCTTTTTATACCAAATAATAAAGGATAGAAATGTACGGCTTTATCTATAATAGAAATATATATCTTTCTAACAATTTTGATTATAAGAATTCACACAATTTTTTAATATATATCTTTTTAACAATTTTGATTATAAGAATTCACACAATTTTTTTTTCAATGTTTCTTCGCCTCTCCTGATAAATAAATATTGTAATGTTGGTTTATATATATATATTAAGTTTTGTATTTTTTATTAAATTTCAGTGCAACGTGCAAATTTATATAACACATCGCGTCTTTTTCCTTCGTTCCTTCCAGCGGGATAGAAGAAAATAAACGTAAGAGATAAGCCAAAGTCCCAGAAGACTAGATAAGAGATGCATACCCGTGCTTTAAAGTCTCAAATAGCTGTCAGTCGACAGCGCGGTGACATTATTGCAAAGTATAAAAACATCAAGTCATATCGGCGTCCCGAGAATCTCGCGGAATGACAAAAAAATATATTTTCTCGTCGCTCTTTGTCTGGAAATAGACAAGAGAGATGAAAGGAATGCCCTTATTTTTATAAATATACACTGTACCGGGTATTTTACGAAAGAAATATACAAAGTATTCTAAATTAGAAAGAAATTTTTAATCGAGAGAAAGAGAGAGAATCGATTTTAACGAAACTTTTCAATTACCGTCATTCTTCGCAATTTTTAAATATGTGTGTAAATTGATAATCAAGTTTCATAAAAAAAAAATCAAGAGGCTTTTATGCAAAACTTAATTACTGATACAAGAAGCTCTCGCATCCCGCAAACATCACCACCCTCGGGGCGATAATGCCATTCAAGATACACAGGCCCCGAGGCATTAGTCTAATGAGACTTTGATGAATTATCCGCACTTAAGACACCACCGGGGCCGCCCTCTCATCGGGTAGCGATCTAAGCCACGAAAATCTGGCCCTATCCTATTTCGCTTTCTCTGTTTCCCGTCTGACGATCTCGATCCATACTACTCGGGGCTCGGTCCTCTCATCACCTTGACCAACACACGTCATTCCGGACAACATTTACGAATCCGTGTTCCTTGGACATGCATCGGCCCGTCATCGCCGTCGGTGAACTTTATGTACCGTGTCAATAATTAACGCCCGGCTGACCCGACAACCCGTCCAACTTGTTTGACTCAAGGATGCACAAGAGAGATGGATCTTTATCGGTGCCACGGGATATGGATCTTCTCGATCGTAATTTATCGATTATACGCTGTCTATGAGAATGGCAAATGGATCGTTCAGATAGTTAATATCGATTATTGATCAAATAACCGAAGACGCGATAAGGGAAGACGCGGGAGGAAGTGTCAAAGGAGTTACCGTACAAAATGTAATGTGAAATCCAGAACGAATGAAAATGAATCTTAATCGCATTGTTAAAATAGCAACGCATTTTTCACGTTGCTACTGACAATCGATGCCGCGACAGTATCGATATAGAAAAAAGAAATTTTATATGCAATAAAATAATATAAAGACGAATAACACACGCAGAGAGTTATTTCATCCGAGCGAAACTAAGCTCCGCGTCGCGCTCCATATAATCCATTTTCCAACAAAAAAAAAAAATATTCAAAGCACTTCGCTAACGCCGGTCGCATGCCGCAATTGCGCCAAGCCGGATTAATTAAATGCAGTAGAAGAAAAACGCGTGCCGCGTTTATATTCGCGACAATTCACGCGAAAATCGTTTCGCTCGAAACAAAATCGCGACAGATGTTTTTACACTCTCTCTCTCTCTTTCTGTCGTCATGTCTATAATCGAACGTCCGATTATAGTATTACGATATTTACGCAAGTATTATATCTGTATTTATTAATCATTCTAAAATTTTTCTTTTTGCTTAGATTAAAAATCAAGGATGTTTTTTAATACATAAGCTAATTAATCAAACATTTTTATAGTTCCGTCAAAAGAAAAGCAATGATATTCGCACATTTTTCTTGCGACTTAAAAAGTAAAGCATCCTATGAGTTTTCTTTCTTTTTTTTTTTTTTTTTGATAATGCAATTTTTTATCCTGTGTCTTTCCGTACATAACATGTCTTTCTCTTGCTTGTTCTTCCGAATGCTGACGATAACGAATTCCGTTCGGTTCTCGCGTTTATCACTCGCGAAAACGAATTCGACGAACGAAATCGCGACGGTTTTTCTCGGGGTGTGCAACTAATTTAATGACGACAATTTGTACGGCGATCTACCTAGGGATCGCGACGGTAAAATCCCTTCCCGTAAGAAAGGAAAACGTATTTGAGGCTATTAACTCGCGCGGGTCGCGCCTCGCCGACTTCGCCACCGATCGAAAGTTTGCGATGGAAAAACTTGAAGCTTTTTCTAAATGTCGTGAACAAGAATTCGCAAAGTTCGCGTCTGCATTCAACGGTTAAGCCGTGCCCGGCTTGATAATCGACGAGAACGGATGGAAGAGTCAGCCACTCCTCTTTTTCTCCGACGAGGAAATCGTGATCGATTCTTTCGTACTTACAAACAGAATGACTGTAATAAAGAATCCGTGAAATTTATGAGCATTTGACATTTTTTTAATATAATTTCGATGGGACTTCGAAAGGATTTCATTCGTAGTTTTTCTTAAGATCCTCGAAAGTAGGAAAGAATCTTCCTTCCCATCGCTTTCGCTTTGCGTTGATGGCAAGTCATACATACAAGAGAAGATTCAGACGGAATTTAAGAGACTCGCGTATATATTTTCAAGTTATGAGATAGACTAGACTTTACGACAATAATTCCGTCAACTATTCAGGACACGTTTCAATAAAATATTCGTCTGGTTTTTGACATGTATTTTGTAATAAATTATTTTTCTTGTTAAACGCACGTTCTCAAATAAAATGTTAAGGCGCGAACAGTTTTAGAGTTGTAATACTTTGCCAATCGAAAATCGATAGTTCCCTATTGGAAATGAAGACCTTTTCACTAAACTTTTCAAATATAGTTAAACGAAGAAGAATAATCTTATTGTTCATATATTCAATCAAACTTTATTTCTCTCTCTCTTATTCAATTTCAATTCGTATAATTTAATTACCATATTTAATGTTGAATTGAAATCTTTTAACAAATGACACCCTATGCGCGATAATTTTTTTTAAGAAAAAATTCTCAAAGAATTTGTCGTTAAAGATCTAAAGTTTCTAAATGATTATATGGTATTGCTTTATATCTTAATAAGGATTTCTTGAAAATTAACAGCAGCGATGACTTTGTCTTTAAATTATTCCAGAATCGTGCAAACACTAAAAATGTTAAAAATATAAAAATTTCTAATATTCTTCAAAAAAATATCCTAAAAAATCAATTTTTCATACTGCTAGAGTAGTCTGTGTGGGCCCTTAATACTTAACGCCTATTCTTTCCGTCAGGTTGATTGGTCGCTCTGTTGTGTAATATTTTTTCTATCGACCAAGTACTTTCGGTTAAAAGCAGATATACGACCGTCGCGCACGTGCGCTGAAGAATCGCCTGAGTATCCTGGAAAACGCGTGCCGGAAAAGTGTGGCAAAAAGACTCCTGAGGATTTTAAGCGAGCATGCGCATTGTGTATTTATAAAAGACAAGAGGAGTCTATTAAATATAGAGAGAGTATTGGAATTTTAGAAAATGTTATATTAAAGCAACAGTAATTTCCTATAGAACTCACAGTTTCAAAGAATTAAAATACAAGTTCCAGTGAAAAAATTTGCGAGTTTCTTTGCAAAAACTTCTATTAAATTAAAAAGCTTATTAACTGTTGTAAGAACTCCTTTATAGTAACTCCTGCAGCGTAAATTTTAATTGCGTAATGGTTGTTCGTTCTGCAGCCTATACTTGATAAAATTATCGGCGATACTTTGGCTCGACGACGAGTTTTAAAAGCTATATGGAAAATGGATCGGACGGAGTTTCTCTCGCGACTCGCTTTTTATTTCTAGGCGCGATGGAGGAAAAGAAGATAAGCGCGGGCGGGATAAAACAAATCGCGGCAAAAAGTTTCATCGATAATTCATGTCTGTCGCGGTAAATAACTTTCAGGTGTACTGCCATAAAGATACTTCGCGACCAGGCCACGGATGAAAATCCCAAACGGCGGCGGTGACAGATAAGGAACCTTGAATTTTTCAAGCTCTCCATACGATCGTACGGCAATGTATTCTTACTATTCTTGCACGAAAAGCTTTATTTATTTTTTCTTCGTTTATTCGAGCATACATAACAAAGAGAATGGCTGTTATTGATTTTTTTAATATCACATTCATTTACGATATATATTTTCAAAGGGAATAAATTATAACTAATTACTATTAATTATACAAATCAAAATTTATCTTTAAGATTGTAAAAACTGTCTTAAGGAGAACTAATAATTTTATGAGCGTGAAGTTTCCAACATTTTCCGCTCGGAATATTTTCCAACGTGACTGCAAATACAGGTCTCCTTCCGGATGAAAATAATAATAATAATTAACTTCTTTTTGAGTCACCGAGGAAAAAAAGTTGACTCGAATTGTTCACAAATGTAAACTCTTTTTACCATGACCGTTTCATTTCCATCCACCCGATGATTTGTAGCACAACTTTGTTTCGGAGCGAAAACATTTAAAGTCGCTCGAATAGACGAGAATAACCAGTTGTTTTTCCGTGGCGAAAACTACGTTAATTAAATGACGCAAGGGCGGATCACCTCTCGCTCGACGAGAAACCAGCGCGAACGTACCATAAAGCTCGCGATTCGCGTCGAGCATCTATGACGACGACGAGAACGATATACTTTCGTTACTTTTGTCCCGGTAATCCGTATCGACTGTCGCGAAATAAACGGTCGTTTGTTAGCGGCAACTTATGAACAAATTATACAATAATTTCCATTAATTAATTCCGCCCTCATACACGTGATTTAATGGATGACGCGGGGATATCGTCACGAGCAATGCATTAACGGTGAAATATTCGGCCGGACGTTAACGAGCGGTACCGGAAGCTCGTAGACAAATAGCAATTAGAGGACACCGCTGTTCCCGTCCGAAACGAGAACAAAAGGTCGTGCCCGCCGCGTCGGATCGATCCAACAAGATTTATATTCGACCTGGAAGAGAGAGAGAGACGAAAGAGGGAGAAGGGGGGATCAGGAATATAAAGAAGGGGGAACGGAAAAGAGCTGTCGGACAACTATGAGGACACTAAGTCATAATGGTTCCTCGACGAATACCTCGCCGGTGGCATACGGCGGCTATGGCAAACGCCGTCTACTCTAAGGGAATAATATCGCCGAGCTGCCGTCGAAATATTGGCGTCCGGCCAAATGGAAGTAAATAAAACGGCCGAAGGGGGCTGGGAGGCTGCGCTGCAGCCGAGGGAACCATCCCGCATGCGACCATGCCGCATTCGGATATATCATGTTATGCATACAAGAACATATTAATTTAAAAATTAATCTAAAATCTAAAAATATATAAAATATAAAATATATATTAATCTAATAAATCTAATAAATTAATCTTTAGAATTAATCTAATTAATCTAAAAATTCATCATTTATAAGTAAAACATATGACGCGTCGATCTGATCTGAATTTGCCATTTGTATTTGATAAGATGATCTGATTTGAACGCGACTCCTCTCGAAAATCGATCTAATCACGTTTGATTTATAATTTATATACAATACAAAGCTCGTGTGTGCGCAAATTTAAGAGAAAGATATTTGACAAAGGACATTGGGAGGGACGCGTCATCAGTGGAATTTTGTAAAATGTACTTAATCCTTTGTTTAAACGACATCCGAATATTATTTTATACGCGATTCAATCGGCTTGAGAGGTCTTAAAAAGGCATTAAAAAGCGCGCGTGATGTAAGCGGCTACGAATCATTGTATAACCCGTGGTTACTTTCTTTTTTCCGCTATTTTTCGACGCTTTTTTAATGAAAGTTCGCTCTTTATCATCGCGATCTCTCTATTCTTTCACCTTACAACTTAAGCACTTTCAGCTCCCAGCGAGATGCGCTTTTAATGATCCTCCTTTATTTTTTCTCTTTCCTTTTTTTTCCGCAAAATAAATTTTCTCGGTAAATTTCCATCTTTCAATTACAATTATTATTGCGCGACGAACGATTCAATAATAAAAGTACCTTGCGCTATTCTCTCTTTAACTCGCGTGCCTATCTACATCATAATGACAAAGCTGGACTTTTCTCGATGTAAACTCATAGGATAACATTCATAATGACGCCTAAAGCTCGCCTCTATTCGCATTTGTGTAATAGGAAAAAGCGGATATAGAAGCGTAAAAGCACACAGACACGATTCAGTGCGCGATTCGCGCGTCAAACAATGCGCTTTGAAGTTATTTCGATCGTATCTCCCGAGTATATTGCTTTTTTCGCAACAAACATGTATACGCGCGTTATAAACGAATTTAATTAGCTGTTCTACAGTAGAATACATAAAAGTAGAAATGCGATATAACACGTCGCGTGTGTAGAATTCACGAATTATAAAACATATTTTAAAACATTATTTTAAAATTTAATATTCTTCTGTAGATAAAAATCTATTGACGATTTGTATATCAAGTTTAAAACACAGAGAAACAAGTTTCTTACCTCTTTCGCGTGTTTGTCTTGAAGCTCGAGCTTCTCCTGGTTAACTGCGAGGCAGATTATCGCGTCCAACTTTTCTTGAGTCGCATCTTCACCCGTCGACCTCAATGCCGTCTTCACTTTAGCTTCGCTGATTGTCTGCAATCAAATAATTAGCTTATAAAAATATCGTTGACGATATTATAATCTCATATGAAAATGATGCTGCTTTAATAACGCAAGAATTTTAGATATAAATTTAAAAGTTTCGAAAGAGATATCCGTTGAAAAAAAAAAAAAAATATTGATAACGTACCCTTAATTTCTCCAGCTCTTTCTGCAGGTTGTTAACTTTGTGATACATATGCAGGACGAATAAATCGAAGGCTTCTTCACTGACAGACAATTTCTTGTCATGAATATTTATATTGGGAAACAGAATTTGCAATTCTTCGTTAAAATCTTCCCGCGCCGTCTTAATTTGCTTCCAATAGCGCTCGGTAAGGTTACTGCTATGCAGCTCTTCGGTGTACTTCCTTTTAGCCTCGTCCACATCGTCCATAATTTTTCTAACGTTCCGTCTCGCGGCTGTTTTCATATGCGCGGGCGCTTGGAGCACTGATTCATCAATTAAATTGTACATGCGCTTAAGCGAATTCAACGCATCTTTCGCATGTTCCTCCGCTTGCTGTACCATCTCTTTTCTCTTTTCCGTCGCCTCCTTTAACCTGCAACCACATAGTACAAATCCAGTTATATAATGGATAAAGAAATGAAGCGTGAAACGATTATGTAAGCGTAACGATCATCACCTTTGCCAAACGGTCCCGCTTATCGTAGTGCCAGCACTCTCAATGACTTTGACGATATCCTGATTGTAGTCTTGAAGTGCGCATACCGCCTTACGATAGGCCTCGATAGCCTTAGCGGCGGCTTCACCGCAGTACGTTTCTAGCTCGACAAGATTTTGTGGCATCAACTCTTCGGGTACAGTTTTGGAAGGCGTTGGTTTTTCAACCACTATAAAAAATTATAAGTATTTTAATAATTTATATAGGAAGATTTCATATATGTAAAATAATTACAAAAAATATGCCAACGTACCAACGTCTACTTTTTCACCCTTCTCTTTACTAACACGAATTTCGGCATAATTCTCGTTAATAGGCGCTTCCTTCTTCTCGACTAGTGGTTTAAAAACTGGCTTGGGTGCTACAGTACACACACGTGATTGTTAAAGATTAGTGGGAATATTATATATGTACAATTTAGTAATTAATTACGCTCTATATACTAGATCTAATTCTGTATTTCTAAAGCCAAATTTCACCAAGTCCGGTTAGATGAACCGACGGTTAAAATTAGCAGGGTGGTTAACTAAAATGACATGAATACTTGGTTTTCCCTAACCTCTATTTTCTGTTGGCCACCCTGCTAATTTTAACCGTCAGTTCATCTAACCAGACTTGGTGAAATTGGCCCTAAAAAGTTATAAAAAAGAGTTGGATTAAAGGAATAAATGTATATAAAAAGAGTAAGACATAAAGACAGGAATAAAGAAATTAGGAATTAGATATAGGATGGGACTCACGTATATATTCTATAAGTTTTGTGCAATCTAGTCTTTTCTGACCTGGTTCTGGTTTTGATGTTTCCTTGATGAACAAGTCCAATATCCTGTAAAAAAATATTTATTCACTTTAATAAAATCAACAATTATTAACAATTATTAACAATTATTAAACATTATATATGTTTCATATTTTTTTCTTACGTTTGCTTCAATGTTTTGAAGAATGTAAGTACAAAGTCGAAATAGCTAGATTCCTCCTGGAAGATAATTCGAATAGCTTTATCTGTGCCAGGAATCCATCCTTCAAGAGTAGCTCGAACTTCCGGATCTTGCTTTGCATATGTTAATATTCCTAAAGTACCTATTGTTACAGCTCCTAAAGTTATCAATGTTCCTGATCCTCGACTTTTCTCACTGTTACAAACCAAGAGCATAATAAAAATTAATTTATTTATCCAAATCTGTTAATCTTTTCTCTTACAATATGATACACAGCCAAAATTATATAAAGAGTTAACAAAAATAATGGGAAAATGATTGCAACATGCATTAATTCATTAAAAATAACATGTCAAATATTCTCAAATTTATATTTTGTAACAAACAAACATTTATTATTGTTTATATTTTATGTACCTTTTTGGCGGTGCGGTCGAATACTTAGGTCCAGTAAACCTGGATATAAATCTGATATCCTTGCATAGCCTAAGAAAAATATAATAAAACCGAAATAATACATACACAATTATTTAAAAAAATTATTAAATAAAAATATTTTTATTGCTTGTCAAAAGTGAAAATTTCTTACAAAATCAGTAATTAGATAATTCAAAATCATTCGAATAGTGAGAAAAGCGCATAAATATGATAGATTTATTTATAAAGTCATTACTATCATTTTTATTCAGTAGAGAAACATTGATCGAACATAACCTCACCGCGCACCGATCAACGCGCGAAATTGACAATAAACAATAGAAATAAAGTAGTCGGTCGTATCTCGAAGCTAATGAAATACAAAATACAATCTTAATACTAATCAACACTTTTGACAAGCAACGACAACCTGTCATCATCAAAATTCTTGCCGGGATAAACTCACCTTCCGTCCGGTTCGTATTTGACGCGTGTTCGCGACTCATGGTACCTGGCTATCAAGTGTAACCTGGAGCAGCCGTGTTTTTTGACCTGAAAGAGCAACGTTCAGAATCAGAGCTTCTGGAATTATGTAAGCTCCCTACAATTTTCGTGCCATCTTTGTCACGCGCACGAGGCGCGCAAACGTCGTCCGCGACCGAGATTTTATTCACTAACGATCCTCGAGATCGACGTCGCTGTCACGGACGTCCGTGCTCGTCGTCGTCGACTCCGTGACAGCCGACGAAGGAGGTGATCAAAAGTCGAAGCGGAATTCGTCGCGCGCGACACTGTTCGCGAGAAGGACGTCGCGGGTCGCGGATCGACGTTATTTCTCTTCGGGAATAAGGAAAATTCACTCGATTCAATTCGTCACTCGCAAATTTCTTTTTCGCTCTACGTACCCGTGTTAGACCGTTGCACGGAAATTTTAATCCAATTCGGAACATCTTTCGGGTGGCCGGTCAGTCAGCCAGGCGGGGGAGAAAGGGAACGACGGCGCAAAACAGCTGGTCACAGCCGATCAGACGGAACTTGCGCGAAAAGAAGAATGCTGCGTGTCGTGAGTGCGGCGCTGCGAGGTGGGTACGCGCGTGTTTAAAAGCTGATCCCGCGATCGGCGAACGGGTCGCGGGGATCTGTCATACGGCGGTTACGCGATGCACCATAATTTCGCCCCGATTTCACGTCTCGTCGCGACGTGAACGACGAAATACGCGACGTCGAGAGGTTATGTCCGGCGCTTTAAGTGACGGCCATGACATACCGCGCCATGACATGACACGTGACTAACGTAAGGAATGGCGCGAAATCCGAAACGTGGCGCGCGTGTATCTCGAGCCTGAAGCTTATCTATCCTATAGATATATTAAATAATAGTAATAATAATATAAAAATATAATAATAAAATTTAATAGTGTTTTCTAAAAAACGCAGTAAACGCGTTTGATAGGTATATATATATGTGTGTGTGAAGAAATTTACATAACAGATAATAAAATATTTGTATATGTTTCGGAACAAAGAAATGTAAAAATATTTTTCCAGATATTGTACTTTGTAAGCACACATTTTACTATATTATTTCAGGAATTGCAGCAAGAGCAACGAGTACTAATGTGACAAGCTTTATTGCTTCAAGATGTGATCTTGTTTTCAATTCTACGCAGTACAGAAATTTTGGAGCATTGTCAACTGCTGTCCAAAAGTGGGCTGCTATTGGTCCAGTGCAACATAAAACATTACTAAAGTAATATATTATATTGCTAAAGTAATTCGTGTGTGTGCTAGATTATATTGATTTTTACAAGAATACAATGATTTATGACTTTCTATATGAAATAATATAGTGTGTCATGCATCTACATAAAAAAATAATGTTATCTTTTCAGTTATGCAGAAAATCGTCTAGCGTTGCCATCAGAACCTATTAATGTACCAGTGAGAACACTAATCAAGTATTCTATGCGGAAAGGGAAGCGGAAAACTGTAAAGACGGTCTTAAAACGCTTTTATAGATTACATTGGTAATATTTCGAGCATGTTACAATCATCTTGATAAATATTGCTTATATCCAAATTCCTGATATATAATAAATTCGAAACGAAATAAATTTGAGTAAAACATAAATTAAATATTACAGGGGTATCTGGATTAGAACGAAAGCTGGTCGAAAGAAACATTTGTGGAAGAAATCGTGGGCCAGAAAAAAGAGATTGCAACAGCATGTATTCTGCAATGCCACGCAGAGCACAATGCTAGACAAGATGGTGACCAAGTACTGGAAAAGACGACATTATTATGTTGATGATCCGTATGAACCGTACCATGACAGAGAAGAATTTAGTATAACTCGAAGAAGACCACTATCTTAATTATCTGTATTACAATTATTGCAATTATAAGTTTCGATTGCAAAGGTAGTAAAGATATTGTTTAGTACAAGTAAGTTGTACAATTGTGTGTGCATTCTTCTTTATACAAATATTTTATTTAATCACTTTATTGTACAATACACCAAATGCAGTGCGCTCCAATTTTTTTCTGGGTGTATTATAAAATATTTAGTGTAGATTATATATATATTACTGACAAATCACATATGCTATAAACTAATGCAGTTGTCGAGTTTTGTTAAAGCTTGTAAACGTGTATCGTATTATTCGTTATCGAAACAGAGATGATTGAGATACATAAAATGTTCCATTAAAAATTCTATCACAATACAAGTTTACAGGTACTCTTAATTATCAAAAAATATCAATATTTAACATTACATGTGATTTATATATCTCGCAGCACAGATGTTGGAATTTTATATTAATCAATATCGTTGCGCAAAATGATAAGATATCACAATATGCCACGATTTGTATTCCACGGGATATTACATTCTCTTCAATAAATACATACTTTAACCACATTTTTTTCTGGTCTCTTTAATCACGATCGATTGACGGGTACTTTTGAAACGAGAATTATCTAACCAAACTTAACCTAACATAACCCAACTAAATAATCACGTAGGCGGCCCCCGCTACGCGGTGTTCGAGAGTTCGAGAGAGAGCTCACGAATCTTTTAGTCGCGATTTGTCCTTCACGGAGTGTGTATGTCATTGTAAAGTAATTGTCGCAATCGGCTTACTTCTTTTTTTTTTTATCGTCGGCTATCAGACGAGCGCATATTTTCACTCCGGGCGGTGATAACGATACAAGATGCCGTATCGCGGAAAATTGCGACTGCTCGGCAGAGCGTGTTTGGCCTTCGGAAAGAGCGAGGGTAATCCAAATCTCGCCGTCGTCGTCGCCAGCAGAAATTTCTCATCGAGTCGCACGCTCGATATGAGGTAAGCATAACCCCACTCCCCTCCGTCCCGACCTTAAAATCGTAACACTCGGGCGCCGATTGTTTTGCCAGAATGAATTTTTCTTATATATAATATAAATATAACGCGATAAGTACATATTGCGGCAAGTGTCATCGATATAATAGATGCTCCCCGAAATTTCTTAAATTTTTTTTTTCTTATATAAAGATCGTTCACATATGACGTTAGCCTCGTCGACGGTTAGTCACGAATAATTTGAAAAATTTTGACGGAAAAACAGCAACTTGTACTTATAATGTGAATTAATTAATTAATTAATTATCGACATCCGAAAATATCATTTGAATCTATCAAAAATCGTATAACAGATTGAATCTATTAATTTTCTAATATTATCAAAAAATAATTTTGTAATATCAAAAACTACCGTTTTCTATTATTAAAAAATATATGATTAATTTTCTAATACTAATTAAAAAATTGTTTTTCTAGCACTCTATAATAATTATATCATATCTAGTTTCTCTTAATTTCGAAATATCTCGGCGATTATTAATGAGTTTTGTGAAAAACTATAAAAATTCATATACACAACACACACACGTAAAGATACGTTACTATTAAGTAAATAATTTTTTTATACAGGAATGTTTCATGATGCAGAAAAACGATATTACTTTGTGCGCGTTTCTTAAAAAGAATTGATAAACTTTTGCTGGCATATAATTTATTATTCTTTTACATAATTTCTGTATACTTCAGCTATCTGCTTTCGTGAGACAAATACAAATTGATAAAAAAGAACGTGTATATATTTAGAATTTAGAAAGTCAAATCAGACGCGCGCGACGTATAACTCGATTGAGTTTATTAATCCCGAACGTTTAATTAATCGCGTCTTTCTATTTCGATAATGGACGTCGATTACGATAGAATATTTTCGCAGGTTCGTTCAATTCACAAGCAAGGGCGGGGGCCCGCAACATCTCGGGGTCCAGCTGAAACAGGGTGGCGACATCATCGCCGTGTCGGCGGTCGATTCACGGATCCCGAACACGCTGAAAAAGTTTCTCGAGGGCGGTGACGATCTTCTCAAAAAGGCTAAAAGGTAGGAGAGCGGTTTGAACAGCTGAGACCAGGGTCTTCGATATGCGAGTCGATTACAGATATGTCTGTATAATTGCGCGCGATTTCGTGTATCTGTTATGAAAATATTTACTCCTTGTTGTGATTTATAGCCACGACGCCAGATAGCCGGTCTTTTATCAGCTTGTGGAATTATGTCTAATGCGTACAAAACAATTTAGAATGTATTAAATGACGAAATAATCGTTCATTTCTAATGCTGTAATTGTTTTTAATTAAATTTTCTTTTTTATGAAAAATTAAGGTCGGAGACTTGACAATTAAATGTCTCTCGATTGGCATTGAATGATTAGAACTTGGATCTGTCCGAGTTATATTGCAAGCTTTTCTTTGAACCTTAGGATATATATTTCAGTAGTATAGTAATATGATATATGGTGCGAAAGGTGTGCGAAATGAAAAAGATTACCTGATCTTATCGTGAACATTTGTTTCACCAGGGAAGACGATATCGACCTAAGGAGGGCAGTAGAGAGGTTGGTAGTGGCTTTCGGAATTCGATTCGTGTGACATAAGAAATAGTTATTTTCCCTTTTCTCTCTTCCTTTATCAATTATGTGTATAGATTCATGCCCACGCACACATACATACATGTAATATAATGTTATCTTTTTTCGATCAAAAGTCGAACTTTCATTAGATCAATTAAGTCATCTTAGTCCATCGTTATCAAATTATCCTCATCAAAATTACTCACTTTATATATCTAATTTTCCATTATATAATATTAATTTTTGCTAAGTAAATATTTAGATAAATTATTTGCACAAGGATATTTAAAGATGTATTTAAAGTACTTGACTAATCTACTGTACCATCTTAATGCACAAAATTCATCCTAGACGGATAATTTATGCACATAAATAATTTTCATTGCATCGGAAGAAACGCTTATGCGAGAGTAAAATTTATCTTTGAAATTCTCGAATGCTACAATATAATTAACATATTGACGACACGATTGCATAAGGAAATTTTAATCGCGCGCAAATCAGATAGCTGTTGTGTTATCAATGTTTTGACAATCACTCTGTGTATTCGCGATTAGAGGATCGAATTTATTAACGGAAAACCCCATTAATGGATTGAATCTGTATTGAATCAATCCAATTAAACTGTAAATGGCCCATGAATGGGAAAATCAGCTTAAAATTTATTTCAAAATCATTCGAATCTCGTTAACGATTTGTATATCTCCCGAGCAGTTTAATATAACGATTGAAAAACCGGACGCGTCTCTCGTGTCTCGAATAATCATAAGTGTATTCTTCGGATTATTTTCGATCATTAGTAGAAAATTGCTATGTGTCACGCGCGTCAGCACGTAGCATTTCGTAAATTATTATGCATTGCATGCTTCTTGCTGTTGATTTATCGATCTCGGTTAAATCTTGCAAATTACCGTCTCTATCGATTGCATCTGTTATCTCGTTTTAAATATATATGTGTCATTGAAACTTTTGAGCTTTTCCATAACATATCGATATCGTATCTTATTTATGTTCAACAAATGAATCTTGTCTCAATTTGCAATCAATTCTCGATCAGATGCATACTTGATACTAACATAAGACAACATCTTGTCTCGCTACCAATTGGCGAGCTTTTAAGCTTCTTTGGTACAGTTGAAAAATTTTCGGTGAAAACAATAACACTCCGAATGGAGGAGTATTTATAATTGTTTACTTTTATATATATATATATATATATACTATATCTTCGGTTTTAAAAAATTAAATGATCATCGCGTATTTTTTTTTCCTTTCTTAATTTTACATTTGGCGATCAAATGTAATTGGGACAAACGATATAAATGCTAATTAATTCGCTGATATTTATGCAATATCGCTTTCGATTATTACAAAACTCGCAATTTGCGTCACAATGTGTTTATTAAGAAGAATCGGAAAATGATTTCGACGATAGAACCTGCACATATATCAAATTTATAAAGATTTAAGTTAGATGAGAAATATTACTCATACAGCACGTTATATTTTACGAGAATTTAAAACCGCACACGCGACGTTTCTGTTATGTAATTTGGCATCCGTGAAGATATTTAACGACAAGAAACACATTCGTAAAAAGAACCACACATTTATGCTTCAATACACAATTGACCGGAAATAGCAGCATCATAACAAGTACATAAACCGCAAAACCGTGCCGGGTTTATCGATTAGCAATACAAAATTAATGACGAGAGATTATCCGCTGGAGTATTAAACTGGTGTTGTTACATGGCTTACTATCGTCAGTCTATATTTTCTTCTGGAAATTGTTTTGTTAGCGCACATCAAACCGCATGTTGCCTACGATTATTAGGCAATAATAAACTTATACGAAGCAGAAAACGCACGCAAATTTCTGTGCCTGCAAACATAATAAAATTTCCATTTTTCCTCTTTATTCTCTATCATGGTATTTTTTTCGCGCCAAAAAAAAAAAAGAAAAACAACTAGATGTTACCTCGCGTGTGAGTGCGAGTTGATTAACTTCCATTAGACGATTCCAAAGTCTATTTTTGACTTGACTAACGATGGTTACAGAATAGTCGCCGAGGGACGGAGCATTATACCCGAGAACGACGTCAACTTTCTGGCCCCAGTCACGCGTATGGACAAACTCGCTTGCATCGGTCTCAACTATAGCGGTCATTGCCAAGAGCAAGGTATACCGATTCCGGAGAGTCCGGTAGTCTTCAGCAAATTTCCCAGCAACATCATCGGACCGCGCGATAACATCCTGCTGCCGCAGATTTCGGACGTAAGTCGACATGAGACGAGATTATCATCGACACGGATTACCCTTAAGGAAGATCGCGATGATTTCGTTACTACGTAATTATGTATTTTTAGTTTACCGAGATCTTCTCATCCACATCCTATTTTCGTTTTCTTCCCATTCACGTTTCAAGACATAATAGTACTATTGTGATACTTTTTTCACGGTAGCTTCATGAGATTCGTGGCTTGAATACAAATTTGCCTAGAAATCGTATTCACATGTTCATTTGGTGTTGATTCATTATGTAACTTGTCTTTGACAGAAGAATTTTAAAGTTAAGGAGAACGCGATAAATAATGTTATGTAGGATGCGCCGAGGATCTGATCAAAGTGCGCAATCGATTTTTGAATTTATAGAAAGTCGATTGGGAGGCCGAGTTGGCGATAGTGATCGGCAAGAAATGCAAAAGCCTCAGCAATGACGATGTCGAGGATTGTATCTTCGGTTATACAGTGGCCCAGGACGTGACGGCGCGCGATTGGCAGAAATCGAAGCGAAACGGCGGTCAATTTCTGCTCGGCAAAGCGATGGACACGTTCTGTCCGCTTGGTCCGGCAGTCGTCACCAAGGAAGCGATATGCGACATCAATAATCTGTTCGTGAGGACATGGGTGAATGGCAAATTAAAGCAGGATGGCAACACCAACGAACTTATCTTCAAACCTCACGAAATAGTCGCTTATCTTTCGCAGTTTGTATTTTTCTCGATGACACGTCAATAATAAGCGATTGTAGATACACGCAATAACAATATTAATCGTATTTTTAGATTTATGACACTGTTACCAGGCGACGTGATTCTTACCGGTACACCGGCTGGTGTGGGATTCACGCGCAATCCACCAGAATATCTACAGGTACGTCATTATAAATATATTAAAATAAAATTAATTAAATAATTAGTACCTCGTTATAAGTAAACATATTTTAGCGTGGCGACGTACTGGAAACTGAGATCGAGAGTCTGGGACGTCTGAGAAACAAAGTAATCTGAACTAAGAAACCGAGAGTATGCCTTTGGAAAGCGTTATCAGAACTTCTTCACAAGACTGGACGTTTTTTCGGGTATCGACATCCGCGATGACATTGAATCATCCCAAAAACTGTGTCTGATCTGGATACAGAAATACATACTCGAACAACATCGACGATTTCAATGTGATTGCAAATGTTTATGCCAGAGGTAACAGCATCGCCACTTTTTGCTCAGGGCATAAACGCGTCTAGCAACATTGATAACACAGCAACGCTAATTTTCTATATGTCACGTATTTTACGTACTTATATAATTAAAATCAGATTGTTTCTATTGTATGTCTATTTTATCTCATTCAATCCAATCTCCACATAATTTTAATAATTTTACATTTTAATGAATTATATATTAATAGTTATTTAATCATGTGAATCTTTATATTCAATTGTTATTAAGTATTTTAACATCGTAAAAATTGGTATATATGTCAATAATGTATATGTAAATAGTTTCTACATTATTCTTGGAGAATTTGAATGAAAGTTTAAGGAGGAGTACTTTTTGATATTTATGTTCAATTTTGTGTGTATGTGATATATCTTCAATATTTATCTGTAAAAACATGAATATGTGTGCGAGTAACCACAAGTACAAGTAGTGAGATCTGATAGTAGTGAAAACTGTTTATATTATCAAATAATTCTCATCAAAATCATGAAAAATGATTTAAATGAAGGAATGATTAAAGAATGCCAACATTACCGATTATTTTTCCCATCTAATATAAATATTACTTACCACATTATATTATTTAAAAATAATGTTTTATGTTCGTATAACAAAAATGTGTTGAATTTTATATATAACCTCTTATTTATTTATTTTTTTTAATCAAATTAGTGCAGAGATTATAACAATATTTAGTTTAAGTCATTGACTTATATATACAGAGCATCAAATTCAATCTAAAGATATATTACTTACATTTAAGTTACGAGTTTAATTTTGTGCTGTCATTTTGAAGATATTTGTTATACTGCTCCGGAATACCTTTAAACATTTTTATTTTGGCTCGTATTTGTTTCCAGGTTAACTGATAATGGTTCTTCTTATCTCTTGACATTGCCTATATGCAAAAAATATATATAGATATAATTTGCTATATTATTTAAAGTAAGGTTTTTTCAAAGAATATCTTACTTCGTAATCTTCGCCATATTTTTTGATCAAATAAGTCAAAAATTGTGCCTCTCCTTTCGGTAAACTGAAACGACGCTCTCGAGGTGCTTTCGTTTCAGCTTCCAAATTTTCCATCACGTGACTTTTTATTGGAGTCGCATCTTCAGCTTCGTGATCCGACGAACTATCATCTTCTCTAACTATTCTTTTGGCCTCCTCCAACATTTCACGCTTCACATTGGGAATTTGTACAGCTTCGTTTGCATCATACGCCAAACCCATTTCTTTCAAATTAATTCGCGTAGATTTCGTGTTCGTCCATGCTTTTTTTATCGGATCGCTAATAATATTAATGAAATAAGATATTAATCGTTGCGTGTGACGGATTATGCGTCATTTAGGTTAGGAAACTTACCACGAGATAATCGGCAATTTTTGTAACTTATTTCGTAGCCTTTTTCGATTCACATTCGGATTGAATTTCTTCTTACGTTTCAACTTCTTAATCTTCTTAATCATCTTCTTGATATTTACAATACGCGCTCGATATTTACAACTTCACACGCGTGTGCATGTGCAGTATAGATCAGTGCATTGTAGAGAGCTTTCTAAGCAAAAAAGAACATAGGTATAATTGGTGTCACGCGATTGGCTGCCGACCAGAGAATTTTAAAACTCCCGAAAATTTATCCATTTGACAACCAATCGCATGACATTTCTCGCTGGAAAAAATTCCCGTAGAAAGACGTGGGACAAATCCTGCTTCGCGTCGATTGGCCGATATTTTCGGAGATTTCCGGAACCCCAGAAACTTTCTATCCGACAGCCAATCGATGACAGGGTGCATCTCTCTCGCGATTAGTACGCCTCTCGAAAGAAAGACGGCGCCGATCGCGCGAGACGCGGGACGCGCGCGCGCGAATGCGCGTGAAACGTAGACCGTTCGGCGTAAACAACATGCGCCGGCAGCAGCAGCAGCATCGGCGACCGCAGATGGAACTGGCATGTGATCCTGGCTTCACCGGGAGATAAATACGAGGTTGCGCGAAAATGGCGGACGAACAGGTGAGATCGCCGACGAGGAGGATAAACGCTCCTCCCGTAACATCGGCGTACGCGCCGAACGGCGACGTTTATTATCCCGCGACGACGCTCAGTTGACGCGGCGAGGATCCCGCCGGCGGAATCCGCGCCGGATTTCCGCGCGTGTCGTCGGATATATATATATATATATATATATACGTACTTGTGTGGTGTGCGTGAGTATGTGTCGGTGATGGTGATGGTGTCGGTGTCGTCGCCGCGCGCACACGTTCGTAAAATCCGCCGCACTTTCTCCCCGGGAGCCGCGAGCCGGAAGGGGGTGGAGGGGGGGGGGAGATATTTGATCTGGTGGGAGTCGCGCATTTCCCTCGCGAGCGTTGACAACGAAAACACCGCGGACGTAACGAGATCCCCGGAGAACGAGATATACCCCCTGCGATTGACATCGAGTCGAGACCGTCGTAGTATCTCCGCCCGCGAATCACAAAACGCCGTTTGTCACACAAAGCGTAATCTGGGCGCGCACGCTGTCTCCTGTGATTCCGGGGGGATAATTACACAGGGGCCGGTTACATCGATCATCTGATCGTTCGCGCGGGTGTGCTGTTGTACGTACATATATGTAAAACGCGGGATCTCGCCCCGTTTCTCTGTGATAAGCGTCACGTGAAACCTTCTCTCCCCTACGTGTTATGTATCGGGAGGTACGGTAACTCTCCGCACACCGTGTGTATATGTGTGTTACAAACTCATCCCCGCGGCTGCGGATACGTCATATCGCGGTTGTGTTTATCTCGACGCGTGTCGTTTCTCGCGTCGCGGAGTCTCTTCTCGCCGGGAGAGATCGTAACCACGAAGAAACGAACGGGTGTGAAAACACGCCCGTTTCTGGTGAGCACTCGAAGCCTCCCGAAGCTTCCGATTCAGAGGATCGCCGTTATTTACAATCTATCGGTCTGGTACCTGTATATAACCTGTCACCGACCGTAAAATTCCGTGCGCGTTTCGTCTTATAATAATATCTCGTACAATTGATCGGTAAAATAAATATATGCGGCGAGAATATTCATCGCAAGCATAAGACACTTAATATTCCTTTCTACCTGTGATTGTGTATGTGGTATGCATGTGTGTATGTATGTGCGAAGCGTATAATAAAATGTATGATTTGTTATTTAAATCACAATTGTTGGTTTTAAATCGTTATTTTTATTGCAGTTTATTTCTTTGAAATTTCTATATGTATACTGGCTATTTTGGACAATATTTTCTATTAAAATAATTGTTTTATCACATATATATCGCAATTTTCTTGTTTACTTTATATAGTTCGTAAACGTTTGTAAACTGTGTGTTATAATAAAACATGTTAATATGTTATAATTGAATTATAATTGAGTGAAACTTATTGTTTAACTGCAGAAAGTTATGCGCAAAATGTATCACTTGTTTTTTGTTCAATTATATATTTTATACCATCTCTGTTTTGTCTCATAAGATGTCTTGGAGATGCATTCTCGAATTAAATGATATTTTATGTATCATCTGTATATATAAGAAAGTAAAACTATATTCAAGTTTCTTTCTTAATTCCATGCAAGTTTAATGTTTAACAAATTGTATGATTCACCAGGCATAATGGGGACTATATTGTAAACTTGTAAACACTTTGGACAGTAATGCCAAACCATTAATAAAGATATGCGAAACATCGTAAAAGTGAAAATATTGTTATGAAACTTTTAGACTTGTACCTAAATGGAAGTATTAAGGAACAACTTTGAACACTATCATTAAGAATGGATCACATACAGGAAGTACGGCAGCTGGAATTGCTGTGCAAGCAATTGTATGAGTCGCAAGATTCGGCGCATCGTGCAGAGGCAGAGAAAGCCCTCGTCGCTTTCCAAAATGCACCGGATACGCTTACAAAGTGCCAGCTTCTCTTGGATCGTGGAGATTCGGCGTACGCTCAATTACTGGCCGCCACCACTCTGACAAAACTGGTGTCACGTTCGGCGCAGGGACAGCTTACGACAACACTCAGCTTACAACAGAGACTTGACATACGTAAGCATTATTTATTTTATTTTGCTACACGAGATGAAACAATTAAATATTGAAGTATTTAAAGCAAGGATTGTATGTTTCATTTGTTAAATGTATGTTTGTAGGAAATTATGTACTCAACTACTTAGCGACGCAACCAAAGTTACCGAATTTTGTGATACAGGCTTTGGTTACACTTTTTGCTAGGATATCAAAGCTTGGGTGGTTTGATTCTGATAAGGAGGAATTTGTTTTCAGAAATGTAGTCAGTGATGTAGCCAAGTTTCTTCAGGTTTGGCATATTTTAATCAATGTTACTGCCATACATATTGTACAGTTTCACTCACACACACAAAACTTTGTTCTATGATTAATAATGTTTCATTATAAAAACAGGGGTCAGTGGAACATTGTATGATAGGAGTACAGCTGCTTTCTCAGTTGACGTGTGAGATGAATCAAATATCGGAAGCCGATGCAAATAGATCTCTGACAAAACATAGAAGAATAGCGAGTAGTTTTAGAGACACACAACTATTTGAAATATTTAGGTTATCATGTACTTTACTGAGTACAGCCCGTGAAAATTGTAAGAGTTTAAACTTCAATGATGAGGCACAGGTATAGTATAATGATTATGTCAATTAATATCAACTTTTCAAATTCTTAATGTCGAATAATTGATGTAACATTCATACATTTGTTTCTTTCAGCATGGTTTGATAAGACAATTGTTGAAACTTGCACAAAACTGTTTAACATTCGACTTTATCGGCACATCGACTGATGAAAGCTCCGACGATCTTAATACAGTACAAATTCCGACAAGTTGGCGACCTGCATTCTTGGATTTTACTTCGTTGAAACTGTTCTTTGATCTGTATCACAGTTTACCCAATACGTTATCGTGCTTAGCACTTTCATGCCTGGTTCAGATAGCGTCTGTCAGAAGGAGCCTGTTCTCCAATACTGAAAGAGCAAAATTCCTGACACATTTAGTCAATGGTATTAAGCATATACTACAGAATCCTCAAGGTCTCAGTGATCCAGGAAACTATCACGAGTTTTGTAGATTATTATCTCGACTGAAAAGCAATTTCCAACTTGGCGAGTTGGTCTTGGTGGAAGATTATCCTGAAGCAATAGAGTTAATTGCGAAATTTACAGTGCAGAGTTTACAAATGTGGCAATTTGCACCCAACAGTTTGCACTATCTTTTGACTCTCTGGCAGAGAATGGTATCGTCTATGCCGTATGTCAAGGCGGGCGATCCACATCTATTGAATACATACACTCCGGAAGTTACGAATGCGTACATTACGTCGAGACTTGAATCGGTAGCGGTGGTGGTCAGAGAGCGTCTGGAAGATCCGTTGGACGATCTCGGAGTAGTTCATCATCAGTTGGAACAGATATCAGTCATTGGCAGATGCGAGTATCAAAAAACCTGCACTTTATTAGTTCAATTGTTCGATCAAGCAGCAAGAACCTATCAGGAATTAATGGCACAAACAGTATCACCAACACAACAGATTGATATTACAATCCAGGAAGGACAGCTCACATGGCTTGTGTATATAATTGGTACATAAATATATCTATTACTGATTTCCATATCATTAATAATGTCTATATAATGTTTTTATATCTACTTTTTCTCATTTTTTGTTATAGGTGGTGTTATTGGAGGAAGAGTTGCATTCAATAGCAATGAGGAGTTTGACGCTATGGATGGGGAGTTAGTCTGCAGAGTACTTCAATTGATGAATCTGACTGATTCGAGGCTTACGCAGGGTGGCTGTGAGAAACTGGAACTGGCAATGTTGAGTTTTTTCGAACAATTTCGAAAGATTTATGTAGGCGATCAAGTTCAAAAGAATTCTAAAGTCTATAGGAGATTATCGGATGTGTTGGGTCTTAACGACGAAGCCATGGTGCTCAGTATTTTCATTCGAAAGATGTAAGTAAGGCATGTGACATTTGTAAGATTAGATTAGACATCTCGAATATTAATGCCTTATGTTATAATTTACAGAATAACAAATTTGAAGTATTGGGGTAGGAGCGAACAAATAATTTCCAAGACACTACAACTTTTAAATGATTTATCTGTGGGTTATAGCTGTGTTCGTAAGCTTGTCAAATTAGAAGAAGTACAATTTATGCTCAATAATCATACAGTATGTACTAAAATCTATTACAGTATTTAATATTTAATAATAATGAATGATGATAGATTAATATGTGAAATCTTTTCTATCAACAGCGAGAACACTTTCCATTTTTGGGAAATAATGTTGCTGTAACAGAAATGCGTTGCAGATCAATGTTTTACACATCTCTTGGTAGACTATTGATGGTAGATTTAGGTGAAGACGAGGAGAGGTTCCATACGTTTATGTTACCTCTTACAGGTAATAATATTTATCTTGATATAAATTCATAATCATAATTTTCTTATTAAAAATATAATGTTATGAAAGAAATAAATGTTTTAAATATAATTTCATAGGTG